CAGCCAGGACACCGAGTGGGGCAGCCCCACCTCCCTGGAGGGTCACCTGGGCTCCGTGGCCATCTTCTGCGAGGCTCTGCAGCAAACCCAGGTCAAGGCGCTCTTCTGCGTGGGTACGTCGGGGTGGACATGGGGAACGTCAGAAGGGGTGGTGATGGCAACAGGGTCTCCTCCACCATGCCCCAGCTCACCGCAGTCGTCTTCCTCCAGGACCAAATGTCACATCGCCGTTTACGCTGGAAGGTGACTTGGTGGAGCTCAGCAGCAAGCTCTTGTTGTACTACACCCCCCAGGTGAGGAGAGCCACCTCCCTGGTGATGGGGACAGCACTGGTAGACCCTCTGCCATAGGTGACATCTCCAGGAGCATGAGGATGCTCCTATGGTGCTCTCTTCTAGGCCTGCAGGAACAACATCTGCCTGGACCTTTCTCCCAGCCATGGCTTCGATGGGAGGCTGACGGGGCACAAGGTGGTCAACTGGGACATCAAGGTACGCTGGGTGCGGGCTGGCCCATCCTGGCTTGTCCATCCCATGGTGTGGAGGCAACTGGGTTCCTCCTTGGGTATGAGGCCAGGGCAGCACCCCCGCAGGGTTTTGGATGGTCACGGTGGTCCCCCTGGACCCTGCTACGCGGTGTTGGGTCCACCAAGGACCTGCATGACCCATGGGTCCTCTAAGGATCTGTCTGCCCCATAGGTCCTCAGCATCCAGGGTGGCCACCATGGGTGGTCCAGGGGACCTGTTTTAGGTTTGTGCTGTAGGAGGTCTGGGCACACCCTGATCTTTGCTAGCCACAGGTCCTGGTTCTTCTCGTCTTGGGCTGAGCCCATGAGCAGGCAGGATGGACCCCGGGTGCACATGCAACCTTCTCCTCTCTGCTGCCATCACCACATAGCACCCAGCAAAGCTTCTCGCCTCACTCCCTGCAGGATGTGGTCAACTGCGTGGGTGGCATGGGCGTGCTGCTGCCCCTGCTCGAGCAAGTGGTGTCCAAGAAGGAGGAACCTGAGGATGCGCAGGAGACCAACGACCTGGTGGGACCAGAGCTGATGCATGCTCATCCCACTGGGCAAGTCTTCAGGTGAGGACCTCGGGGGACGTGGAGTGGGAGCCGTACTCCTCAGGTGGAGGAGGTAACCCCACTGCCACGTGGGTGCTGCCTGATGGAGGCTGGTGTCAACCATGGAGCAGGAGAGGTCTTGCCTGGGGCACCAAGAGTTATGGGGTAACGGAGAAACCGTTGACATCCTTTAATGTTGTGATGACCTCATTAGTCATAAAGAAGCAGTTCTGGGAAGATGAAGGTGGTTCCAGCCTGCTTACCTTGGGCTTGCCTTTGTGTGGAGTCTCTGGTGTCTTATAGTAGGGCTGGGTTCATGCTGGAGCCTTCTCCTGCATAGGTGGAATGGGCTTTCTCATGATACCCAGCTGCTTATTTCTAAGATGCTCAGAGCAACGGAGGTTTCCACTCTCTTAAATTTGGGGGAAATAGGGGAACGGGCTGAAAAGTTTGCAGAGAAGAGCTGACAGGAGGTCTACAGATTGCCCTTTGCAGGCAGTGCTGTAGGAAGGCGTTGGGGTGGGCACAGGGCTCACAGCTAGCGGTGGGGCTCTGCCCTGTGCCTTGCAGAGAGCAGGCTGGAGAGGAACAGCGTGGCCGCCTTCCTGCTGCTGGTGAAGAACTTCATCCAGAATCACCCGGTGAACCAGGAGAGCCTGGTGCAATGCCATGGGCCGGCCATCATCGGGGCACTGCTGCAGAAGGTCTGGCGGGCTACCAAAGGCTCCATCCTGGAGTCCTCGGGGACATTTCCCAAGGGGTACGCTGGGGCTTCAAGTCTTCACTCTCACCCATGGCAGGTCTCTGGGCCGCTGTTGGACATGAGCACATTGATGGCCTCACAGATCCTCATGGAGCAGGTTGCCTCCGAGGGCAGTGGGCTCCTGCTGCACCTCCTCTACCAGCATCTCCTCTTCGACTTCCGCATCTGGAGCAACAGCGACTTCGCCGTCCGCTTAGGTGGGAACTGGAGGTGTTTAGGGATGTTCTCCGTCGTGCTTGGGGATGTTTTCTGGGAATGTTCTCCATCATCCTTAAGGATGTTCTCCAGGGACGTTCTCCATCGTGCTTGGAGATGTTCTCCATCATGCTTGGTGGTGTTCTCCATCCCAACCAGTTCTCCCATGGCTACTCACACCTTCTCCCTGCAGGTCATATCCAGTATCTGGCCAACATCGTCAAGGACCACAAGCAACGCATCCGTAAGAAGTACGGGGTGCAGTACATCCTTGACTCCATCCGCACTTACTATGGGTGAGCTGCCGTCTGTAGCCAGGACCCCTGAAATCTGATGTGGTGGGTGGGCTTCACCCCGCGGAGCTGTGGTTTGGGGTAGACACCATTTGCTTGGGTCAGTATCCCCTCTGCAAGCACCTCATGGGATGATCTTCTGGTGTGGGAGTGTGGTGGTGGGTGCAAGACCTTCTGTTCTTCTTGGCCATGTCCCATCCCCTGCTCAGCCCCAAAATCCACTCCCAGCATCTCTCCATCAGCAACCAAGAGCCATGGTGGTTTCTGCACCAACCTGATGCCCTTTTCTTGTTGGACCTGCTGCGTTTCTGAAGATTCTGGGGGTGCTCACATCCTGCAGAGTCCCAAACGCATGGGTTGGACATTTCCTGGTAGGCAGGGTTGTCCAGAAGGGATGTCCACACTGGAGCTCCTCAGGCTTCACGGTGGGATTTGGGATCATGCTGGTGATGGGTGACAAGGAGCAGGAGGGTGACTGTGCACATCCCCAGAGGGAATGCCCATGCACGTCTGTCCATCAGCACCTCCAGGGAGAAGACCACAGCCACCGACGACATCAAGACAGTGCAGACGTCCCTCTTCAGCTTGGTGAAGGATTTCTTCTGCCGGAGCTTCTCCGGGGAGGAGATGCAGAGCTTGCTGAACTATGTGGCTGGAGCACAGGATGAGCAGCAGGTATGGCACCAAGCCACCCAGATCCCCATGCCATGGGCTGGGGCTTGGCAGCAGATGGGGAGAAGACACCAAGGTCTGGTGGGCAGATGGAGGGCAGTGGACAACCAGCCCCATGTCCTGCAGGTGTGCGGGGCGCTGGAGGTGGTCCACAGCCTGCTGAAGGGCTCGCCTGCCCAGGAGCAGCTCTTCGCCTTCCTCTTTGAGCCGGGCCATGTGGAGGTCCTCTTCTCTCTGCTGGTGCAGAAGAAGTTCTCGGATGAAGTGCGGGAGAGGGTCTTCAAGGTAAGATGAGACTCCAGCCCCAACCTCTTACCATCCCCAGCGGCCAGGGACCCTCGTCGCAGTGGGGTGGTCACCTCTCTCGGTCTCACCAGATCCTCTACAAGATGTTGAAGTATGACAAGGTCCCTGAGCGCAGCAAGAACCGCCTGAAGCTGAAGGACATTGGGTACCAGGGGCTCATCACCTGCCTCAGTGACATCCCCGGCTCCATGCTGCTCTTCCGCTGTCTCTCGGAGCAGGTCCTCGGGGCAGGTACAATGTCCCGTGCCAAAACCAGGCTGGCCCTGGCCACCCAGCCCAAACATGTGCCATGGGGTCATCACTGGTGGCTTCCCAAGAGGCTGGGGCTTGGGGGGGTCATTTGTGTCTTTCGGGGACAGAAGGAGGTGTCCTGCCACCATACCATCTCTTCTTGTCCATAGACCCTCCCAACTACAAGGACCTGGTGGCTGTGGTCTACCTGTCCCACCGGGCTGAGCTGACCGTCCGGCTCGATATCTGCCGCAAGGTGAGCAGGGCAGTGGGCACAAGGGGCTGTGACTGAGTTGTCACCCTGGGGCTGAGATTCTTGGGTACCCAGCCATGCCCCAACATGGGGGCCATGGGAATGGTGGACACACCAGCATGGAGGTGGTGCAGCCCCAGCACCCCATGATGGTTATGGGGTGCTCAGGACCAAGCATCCCACCCTTTGGAGGGTCCAACTCTTCCAAGAGGCTACCAGGAGCTGGGACAACATCATCAGGTCTCCCCCCCCGGCTTTCTCCTGCAGCTCTTCCACTTGATCTACGCGCAGCAGGACTTGGTGAAGCAGCTGGCGAGGTTGGCTGGCTGGCAGGACACACTCACCAAGCTCTACGTCAAGGAGTCCTACGAGTCCCGCCAGCACAGCCTGAGCAACGGGAGCAACGGGGGCTGCCTGGAGCTCCTCCGCCTCTCAGACCCCTCAGGAGGGGAT